GTCCAGCATTTCTCACATTTACTTGTTTTAATCCAATTTAATCGCCAAAAGCGAACTCATTTCTATATTGTGATTACTCTACAAAAATAGCAATTTTCTCGGTGATTTCTTGTCAAACTCACGCCCAGTGGGGGTCTTTCTGGGGAATTACTAAAGACAAAGAAGTCGGCTGTCAACGACAGCGATTTTTATAAGGGAAAGAATAATTATTGTACTCCACGGGGCCCGACGTTTCTTGGCATTTTGTAATCAGCTGGTTCTTGGCAAGCTGTTTATAAAACTTGCGCCTTATAGTGGAGACGTCCAGTAAACAGCTGGGTTTACTGCTGTACTGGACCGGAGCGAATTGATGGGGAAGAAGAAGAATGCCGGGGTCGTCAGCTGACTAGTGGGAATGTTATGATACAGATCAGAATCTTGGATCAAAGTGGTTTAGAATTCTTGTCATATCAGAGAAGGTGAAGGTACAGTGTTTTACGGGTTTGAGAAAAAAAATTGTAGATGTTTGTTACTAGTATTATTCAAGTAGTGTACTTTTTTAGTTTAGAGAAGGTTTGTTGTTTTTTATCTGACCAGTTTACTAAGTGAGGTTGGTTAGGTTTGGTAACTTAACAAAATCTTACAAAACTCATCTAATCATACTCTACATAACCTAAAAGTACTGTTTTCCAATATCCATTCGTTGTAAAATGGTTTATTAAATTATTTTCTATTTTCAAGGGTTTCTTTTATTTCTATATGATGTTCCCTGTTGTCTTGTAATTATTAAGTACTAAAGTCAATATTATTTTTTATCGATTGTACTTGTCGAATCTTATGTATTTTTATCAGATTTTTCTTACAAAAAAGATCTATCGTGCTTTTGTTTTTTTCCATTGTTGTTTTGTAATTATTAAATACTAAGGGTCAACATGACTTTATATCTTTTGTGAATCTGGTGTATTTTTAACAGATTTTTGTTCCTAAAAATATCTATTCTACATTAGAGAATAAATTGTGCTTATAATGAAAAATAGATCTCACAAAACGTGTATTTTAACAGAGAGACGTTAAAGGCTCAAACTTAGAGAGTTGAGTCTGATATATCTACACACTTAAGTTATTAATTTATCCAACAAAACAAAAATCCATCTCACCTTCTTCAACAGAAATATTACCGTGCACAAAATCTATATCGATCTCGAAGGACCAAAAAGAAACCGAAGGGTTGTGATGCACACAATTCATCAATTCGAAAAATCTCCCCGAAAATAATTGTGCCCAAAATGAGAAATAGATCGCGGAGAGAAAAGGGAAACTGAAAAGGCTCGAACAAAAGCAAGGTTGTTATCGTCAAGTGAAGCGTGTTGTGGTGTTTGTTATTATTCACCGCATTGTAGCAGGTTATCCGGCCGATCTGTCCCGTGAGTTTGCATATTTCGAGAGGAGGAGCTGAAAGACCGAGTGGCAGCGCAAACAAGAAGGCATTGTAAGTAGAGATGAGGTGCTCAAAGGTTTGTGTCCAGCACTTGACAAAATGTGGGTCAGCTGAGACAAAGGGGTGGCATTGTAAAGTCTTTTTACTCTTTATGGTGGAAAAGGGTGTTTTTGAGTGGAAGGGGGTATGTTAGTATTTTATAATATAGTGATACAGATAGACATATTTAGTTAGAACGGGTATTATATCACTTCATTTGTTCGTTTTGTGATATCGCTTCTATCCCTTTTTCAGATAAAAAATACCCCTGCTACAGCAAACCTACACCCTATTGTACCCCTCAAATTTTCGGTTCTGATGTTTACTTAGCGATTTCCATTTTGTCTGATTTTATTTCTAGTAATATTGATGAATTTAATGGATGTTGCCTCTGGGGACATGAAAACGATAAAGTAAATAGGTCCCGGGTGTAGGTCTTACTACGGTGATGGCTACGGCAATAGCTTCTTCTCTATTTTCCCATATGAGAAAGTTGCTAACATAGGTTTCAATACATCCCTTTTAGATATAATTCTTATTGGTCATATAACAAGTGTTGTAAGTATTTTTATATCCTATGATATCCAGAGTTTATTTTGTTTATATATTGATAGATATCGACTAGTTTTGATGTTTTTTTACATAATTTCCTATATTACAATCAATACGTAAGGCATATACATTTTTTATTTTACCCTGATATAACATAAAAATAAAATTAATATTAAAGTAATTATCATCAAAGAGATATCAAAAGAAACTTAATATTTCCCAATAGAATATAAAATCTTCTTGCAGTATCTTACATCAATAAATCGTTTTAACTACGGTTATAAATTAATTATAAATTAAGAGCATTGTTCAAAAAGAGCTGGGTCCAGTTCAAAACACTCACAGACTTCGAGCGTTGACTTTTTGCGCTTTCATCACACCAAACCAATAACCTAAGCTTAGTCTTAAAAAAAGATTGTTTATTGTAAAATTTAGTTGGTTTACTGGAGGTAGCCGAATCGTTTTCAAGGAGGTTCCGGAGGAGCCTGTATCAAAATGTTAATTGTTGGATGGCCCTTGAGTTGATGATCCCTCCAAAAAATATCTTTTTTTTTCATTCCATCTGCGTTAACACACTCAAAATTAAACAAAATCAATAAAAATATATAGGTTACCGACACAGCATCTCCATACAAATTGCGTACTACAGGAAACTTTTATGGATCATCCCCAAAACCCCAAAGGAGGATTTAGGTCAGTATGACGTCACCCCACTCGACCCTTGTCACACTGGAGGGGTGAATACTATTAGTAGTTCCATTGTCAACTCTCAAAGGAAGTGACACAATGTTAGGTCGTGTTCTTGCTTTAGTACTTTAGAATCCTCCACTTCTTGCGCTGCTGGCAACAATATCTCATTGACAATGTTCAAATTGTTAGTTTTTAATTTAAAGATGCTTTAAACAAGTATTTCAGTGGTTAACTGGGTTGAAAGTTAAAATTGGATTCTCTTATTAAATTCGATCACACTCATCGGCATCTTTGACCAAAATTGTCTAAAATCGTCGTGGTACCTCCGCTTCTTGCACTGGCTACTAAGTCTTTTGATGAATCTACAAATTATAAGTTTGTTTTTTAAAAAGGCTTTGAACACTAATTGTAACTTATGGTGTCAAGGGTTATCTGAATGGAAAATTTTCACACTCATCGGAACCTAATCGATTTTCTGATCAACAGACTTAATAGCGCTCGCCTTTTAATCTGAAGTTTAATGGTTCAATACCGTCTGGAGTCGATTTTGCACCTAGATTCTATTTAACATAATGGACTATCAGTTAAAGATGCTATTTGACATTGGACTAACAGTTAAAGATGCTATTTGACATTAGGCTATCAATTAAGGATGCTATTTGATATTGGATTATCAATTAAGGATGCTATTTGACATTGGACTATCAGTTACAGATACTATTTGATATTGAACTATCAATTAAGTATGCTGTTTGACATTGGGCTGTCAGTTAAAGATGCTATTTGACGTTGGAATATCAATTAAATATGCTATTTGACATTGGGCTATCAGTTAAAGATGCTATTTCACATTGGGGTATCAATTAAAGATGCTATTTGACATTGTGCTACCAATTAAAGATGCTATTTGACATTGGAATATCAGTTAAAGATGCTATTTGACATTGGAATATCAGTTAAAGATGCTATTTGACATCTGGCTATCTATTAAATATATTATGTAACAAAAGTTCGATGTTAGACATTAACAATACCGTTGGACCATTCCTTTACAAAACCTTTAAAAATACAAATGGCGTAGATAAGCCCAAAAATACAGTATGATTCATAACAAAATATGCATGATCTCGAACTCTTCTTCGAGAATACTTCTCGTGGACCTAACATTCTCATCTTACTGTGAGAGTTGTTTAAGATTACTTATCAGCTGTTCTCACTAGAAGCGTGTTCTCAAGAGGTTGGCATATACCTCACTCGCACACGCACTTGGTCTTATCCCTTGGCAAACATTGGCAAAGATAGGTGAACGTGAGTACCTTGAACTTCCCAGGTTTTATCTGTCTTCTGTGAATCAGGCTGAGTCATCAATGAATGCCTTGCGAATCGGTGAAGATTTCAGTATGCAATGAGAAATTGGTATTTGAGTATCCTCCTCTAATGGATTTTCTGTTGTGATTTGTGTTTGTTAGTTTAGTTTTACGTTAGTAAGCCTTGCACAGCTAAACCTGGTCAGTAAAAAGGTTGCATTGCTCATCTCACTCCATTATAAACTACTTAGATTCATATTTATCTTAAAATACACATTTGAGGGTCTAACAGATTTTTCTTTACTATTTAAGGGAGAGGAAGAATATGCGTTTACGTATATAGGTGGCACTGCGCATGGTAGTACAAAGCCACTAAACCGTGGTTTCCAAAGAAAATGCAATATATAATACAGTACTACAAATCTAGAATCAAAAGAGTAGACGGATAAAGGTTTCAAGAATACAAATTCGTTTCTCAATCGCTTACTTTGGAGTAGTTTTCGTATTCTTAGCTTCAAACAATGTTATGAACAGCTGTGATAAAAATACAAAAGTCAATTCAGATAACCCTAAATAAATGCTTTTATTAAAGCTCTAATTAGATAATCATTTTACAATCTTTACTTTCCAATTATCACCTATTTAGGTTGCCAGTGACGTTAGTTTATCAGTGACTAAGCCCTTTGTATTGATCAATTGTCAAATATCCGTTCTCACCTTTCCTGATGTTTGTTTTTGTTATCTAAGTCCTGATAACTCCGAGATAGACTCAGTATTGTGATCTGTCGACTCTTCACCTCGAGAAGGCATAGGTCAGTATAGAGCAGAGCACTGGGGAATTCCTAATGCATTCACAGATTATTTTAGCAGTACTTTGTGAATCCACTTAAAGTTCAACTGTTTTGTACTTGAGTTTCATTGAAATAGGTACAAATCTATGTTAATGTTGGCACTTTTAACGTTTAGTAATATTATTTTGTTTTGTTACAGGATTTACATTTTGGAGTGAGAATGTTGAGGTGAGTCCAGTTCCAAAGTTTTATTCTTAAACATTTATAAATAATTTAGTTTTATAAGCATACTAAGGTGTGTAAAGATAATGAATACCTTAGTGTTTAAAAAATAACTGCAACATTTTATTTGGTAGAGTAGAAATCTATAATTGTTCATATATTCATTTTATTACATACTAGCAGAGTACCCGTCCTTCGTGCGGGGTTGGCATATAAGTATAAATTGCTTATTGCAGTTATACTCAAGCTTTGCCTTTGCAATGGGGGGAGAACGCAGTTTGATACAAATTACTTCTTTAAATTTAAATTTACAGTTTACTATAGTATTACATATCTACCATAGCCATCATTTTCAACCAATTCACCTAAACAATAAAGAGAAAAATAAATATAAAAAATTTTCAAAATATCACAAATGGTTCATTAAATTAAAAACATAAACATTACTGTAAAAATCCCTACTTTGACAGTTCTCATTGCGTATCGCAGTTTTTGTTGCTGCTTAGTTAAAATTAGTTGTTTTCATAAATGCAAAAAAAATAATAGTGCTGCATCCTGTTGGTTAATGTTATAACTGTTTAATGCTCTTCATGTCATAGAACCAACTTTTTTAGTTGAAACAGCTGACTAAATTCGTTAAATCCCTTTAAATATGAATACTCATAAGGTAACATGGGGAACTGCAGAGCCACTGGGGTGGAGTCCGAAAGGATTTTTGAGATAAACATATGCCTATATGTTAATCGGGAATGTGAGGTATCATCATGCCAAATTTCATCCCAATCCGTGTAGTAGTTAATGCGTGATTGAGTTTCAAACAAACAAACACACAAACTTTCACATTTATAATATTAGTAAGATCATAGATAAATCTCAAAATTTAACCGAATTCTTTAGATTTACAAAATATTTCAATCATCCAAATGTTTTGTAAACTTAAAACCAATAAAAAACAAATTATAAGTTAAGGTTTTTTTTATTTATTTGAATGGAAACGGCCACATAAGGATATAACAAACAAAAAAACAAGATAAAAGGGCCCTGAAGTTAGCTTGAAAATTTCCAAACAGTGGCAGTGAACCCATGTAAATTTATCCAAAGGTAACTGCAATTATAGGTTTTGTTTGCTTAGAGGCTTTTCAAAAATATACTTTGACATTATCTAGCAATTAGTGAAAATTAAATATATATATATATATATATATATATCCATTTCAATAGTAGTTCAATGTCAGAACTGGAATAGTTTTAAAAATTTCAAGGTAATTATTTCAGTAAAAAAATAGATATTGAAAAAAAAAATCAAGCCAACTTGGGTCGTGCAAAATCTTTTAAAAACCTCTCAAATTCATCAATCACCAAGAACGATTTGTGCAAAGCGAATCTCATCAAGACAAACGAGATTTGGGAAAAATTGATTAGAAGAAAAATGAAACAAATCTTCCAGTGACACATGCAATCCTAAAGTAGTTACAAGGTAACACTGTTCATTAATCAAAAAGAGGGGTAAGGGTTGAAAGGGGGAGGTGAATTTACAAAGAAGCAATAACCCCCTTCCAGGGCTCGCCCGGAGTCTGAAAGAATAACGGAAGTTACCGTAACGACTTTTCGCAACAAAAAACTAAATGAAGTTCTACATCCACACGTGTCAAATATAAAAGGACGCGATCGGAAATTGAAAGAAAATTACTTTCCATACTTTGTTCTGAACGAAGATGTCAACGCCAGTCTACTTGGAAATAACGGTGCTGTACGTTAGGTTCCGGATGAAAATATTGATTAAAGTGTCTTTTATTAGTTAGGGTTATGAATAAATTTATATTTTTTTATAAGATGAAACTAATCTAAATATAATTTTACAGCTAGGGTTAAACAATTTTAAGGAAACTTTCGGGATGATCTTACAAGTAGAAAAATAATTTAAGTTTACCACTAAAACGAATGCTTGTTGTTCTTTTCATTTTTGTATGATCCAAGAATTTTAAAGTCATAAAACTCTGCTTTTTAAAATCCATGTTACTTATTAATTACTGTAGTATATCGATATTTATTTACATGTCTATTGATGGAACTGAATGATTGTTCATAGAAGTTAAAATTCTAAAAGTAAATAAATATTCCGCTACAATTCTTTTACTAACAAATTATAGATTTTTGATGAAACATTTATGAAAATTGTACACATGTTTGGATTAGGTTTCTCAGCATTTTTCTCGCTACATGTGTTTTTAAAGAAATACCTGTGCCCGTTATAATTAGTATATACTTTAAGATATTGATTATATTTTTTTAGTGTTTACATTAAATTTTCATTAACGTTTGTACATTTATGAATTGGTAAGATGGGTTAGGATGGAGTAAAATGATATATGCAACGATGGTTGTCATTGACTAAGAACAGCCATTCCTTTTGTTAGAATTATTTATTAAAAGTTCAATGAACAGAACAGCTGAGTGAATTTAAAGCTAAAAGCTAACTTTTCTCAGCATTGAACTAGTGAACTTATGATTGTCAAGTGAGCACAAACCTCTATACCCAGATATATTATTTTGTTAATCATGGGTCTACGATTACCAACTTCCTTTATCAGAAAATTACATTTCTCGTTAAGAATAACTGTCGTTAGACCAAACCGGACATCAATAAAAAATGTAAATATAATAATGATTCCATAGAATTAACTTGTTGTTTTTACATTAGCTCAGTCCACTTCACCACACAATTACAAACCAAGGAAGCTTTAATGATATCCCGGAAGACACAGAGATTCTACTTTCTCCTCTTTTCTCGCTTCGGATCAAATTCCCTCCAAATCGTACGGCCTGGAGGTCTCTTGGCGCCAATTTTTGAATAATTGACCGCCTCATGATCCATGACCGATATTCGACACTCGCACTGCGCCGGGAGACGAGTTTTATCTAATTGTCACCCTTGTGTGCCATTCGTTATGAAAAATATTGGATTTTTCCCTCAATGCAGTTTTAATCTCATCATACGTTCTTTTTTTGGAAATTATTTTTTGTTGCTTTGTTAAAATATTGCTACTTTTTGTAAGTTCAATCATGGACAAAAAGAAATCAACTATCGTCATCTTTGCTGTGTTTACCATAGGTTCTGGCGCACACCACTGGGAGCGCCGTTTAGTTTGTAGCGCGTACACCATAATTACATGGCACTCCCAGCGGTGTGCGCCAGAACCTTTGGTATCCGCAGCACGGCTGACGGTCTATACTTAATTCTTTTTATCTATGGTTTAATGGTCTCATTAGGTTGTTTTTTTTTACAAAAAATAATGAATTTATTAAAGAAGTATATTTTAAGAATGTGGTATTGATAGGCCTACACATATTGGTATATATCTACAATTGTTACCTTCAAATATAAATGTTGTTGGTTCGAACCCAAACGGAAACAAATCTCGAAGTGTCATAATTGTCCAGTTGATCATTGGGCTAAATAAAATTGAATCACTCACATTAAACAATTGCTACGACAGACCACAGACAAAAGTAATTAAATATAGACTGTCAGCCGTGCTTTTGTTACCATGGGTTCTGGCACACACAGCGTAGTTACGTAGCACGTACGCCGTAACTACATGGCGCTCCCAGCGGTGTGCGCCAGAACCTATGGTAACCGTGGCACAGCTGACGGTCTCTATTTTATTCTTTTTGTCTGTAGACAGACTGAGTGAAGTAGTTTTGTTCGGTTTGTCTCTTCATTGTACAAGTCCTCGTACATATGGTTGTACTCTCTTCCAAGTTATTCTTTTAGGAAATATCCTTATAGGTCAACACAATTTATTTCTTCTTTCTCGATTTGAGGATTCAGAGATATAATTCGTGGTCCTATTCGATCTTCCCGTCCGGTCATTTAAAAAAAATCAATTATTATTGACAGATGGGTCCACTCTTAAGCCATCAAAAATGTATTGCAGTGTATCAGAATCAAATGAACAGCCGATCATTACGACTATAGTCTGTATGGTGAAACCTGTCTACTAACCCTCCTACTTACGAACTGGTCAATAGTTTAAGGCCCGGGCCCAAACAGATCAGGTAGATGGTTATGAGACAGGTTCCATCATACAAACTATAGTACAACGTTCTCAAACTAAAATCAGCACATCTGCAAATTATAGCAAATATTTCTCTCTATTCTTTTTGTACCCTCGCCTACATTGAAAGTAGAAGCAGCGATTGCGCCAATGCCGACCGATACGTAAACAGATTTATAGAACCAGATTCGAACAATGAGCCTAGAATCATCATTGTCATGATGCAAATGCGATCAAAATTAGCATGATTTGATAACGATAAAGACACAGAGGAATCGCCTGCAGTGTTATTAATTGTGCAAATTAATTAACTGCTTTATTAATTCTCATGAAGTAATTAGACAATACCACGATGAATGGTAATGCTATTCTTTACTTATGGTAATTCAACCCGTCCCGGGGCCATCGTTTGCTTATCTTGTACTTGCATTGTTCTAGAAGCGTTATTGCGTGCAATTCGTCAGGTAATTGCAATCTTCATTGTTTTTGTAATTGAATTGCAATACGCACGGCAATTAAGGTTGGTTTAGTGTTTTGCGGTGCAAAGCTCGAGTGCATGAAATTAAACCGTGCCGAGGCGGCGAAGAGAACTTTCAATTTCTTTTAGAGAAAAAGTTTGACTTTTTTGAAACTGTTATAGTACTATTTACTAGCTGATATTTTACTATGTACAGTATTGCAAAAGTTAGTGACTTCCACCATGAGTCATCCAAACAAGAGTTAATTTTTCTTCTCCCCTACTATTAGAAATTCCATCCCCAAGTTAAAGTTGTGAGCAGTTTTTAAAATTAAAATCTTCCTAGTTAATTTGAGCCTCCGACAGATTGTGTTGATCTAAATTACTGATTTGTGTCAAATACGCGATCTTTTTTACCAACTCAAACTAATGACTTATTGTGAGCTATAGCAACTGTTATGGCTCATCAACTACGTCAACACCAAAAATAA